TACAGAGAGAGCTAGGGAGAAGCAGGGAGGAGGAGGGGCCTTTTTGCACGCAACATCTCCCTCCACATCTGGTCAGGCAAGCGCCCCCACCCTGAAGAAGACGAGGTAGATGCCGACCCGCCAAAACGATCAACGCCATAATTACACGAGGGGAAATACAACGAGGCCCACCTCGAGAAGCACGAACACGAAGGCGCCCCACGGCCTACATGACCAGCAGCAGCAAGAGGCCCAGCTCATAATGAAGTAAAACGGAGTTGCGTACGGCACAAAGGCTAATATACCAGAGCCCGAGGCCCCCGAGAACAGCCTGCGCGTACGAACCCAGAAGTTGGGGGGTGAGATCGCAGTGGAAAGGAGACCCCCAACCAGGAAATCGTTTCGTTTCGCTCGCGCCGTGCGTGCGGGCGAGGCGAAGCTGCGTGGGCGCTGGAGAGGAATGAACCCGCCGTTGCTAGGGCGCAGTCAAGACAAATGACTATCCCCTTCACGCCCGTCCAGCGGTGGCCCGCGAAGTCCCGCGGTGCCCCGTGGTGGCCCGTGGTGTCCCGTGGTGTCCCATTGAGTGAGATCGATAGTGAGACCGATAGTGAGATCGACAGGTGTCCCGTGGTGTCCCGTGGCGGCCCGTGGTGTCCCGTTCAGTGAGATCGATAGTGAGATCGATAGTGAGATCGATAATGAGATCGATGTGGTGTCCCCAGGTGTCCCGTGGTGTCCCGTGGTGTCCAGTGGTGTCCCGTTGAGTGAGATCGATAGTGAGATCGATACTGAGACCAATAGTGAGATCGAGAGGTGTCCCGTCCCGCGGTGTCCCGTGGTGACGGGCGTGGTGTCCCGTGGTGGCCCGTGGTGGCCCGTGGTGTCCCGTTGAGTGAGATCGATAGTGAGATCGATGGTGAGATCGACAAGTGTCCCGTGGTGTCCCGTGGTGGTCCGTGGTGTCCCGTGGTGTCCTGTTGAGTGAGATCGATAGTGAGATCGATTGAGTCAGATGTTGGCTCCCCCCCCTCTCCCCCCCCACGCAAGCTCCTTATCACCCGAAGGGTGGTCGTATAGGTCATGTACTCCCTGAAGGCGAGAACCAGCGTCAAGCCCCACAGCGCCGTCAGGGACACCCCACTTTTTGGGGGGGCTCAAGATAGGGCGACGAAACTTATACATATCCACTGCTCCCCGGCCAGGCCCGTCCTGAACCCAGCAGCGGTATGTACGCCACGCCCCCCTGGCTTGGCCAGGGGAGCGTACAGTCAAAAACCCTAATAAGGACGCGCGGTAAGGACGCAAGACCCTTGGAAGCCGAAGTTGGGATTTTTGAGCGGCGAACGACGAGGACCTCAAGGACGCAAGAGCAAGGAAGAGCAAGGACGCAAGGGTACCCTGAGCAAAGTCGCGCGTTCTTATTAGAGTTTTTCACTGTATATACAGCTCCTGGGTTCAGGGTGGGCCTGGCCAGGGAGCAGTGGATATGTACAGGCTGCGTCGCCCGAGAAGGGCGGAGCCTCGAGCTCAATGAGTGGGGTCGCATTCGTATCCCGCCCCGTCACGCGGTCACAAAAAACAGGCCCCAACCTTGCACCCTGGAGGAGGGAGAAGAGAGAGGCGGGATGAAGGACCCATCTGGTCAAAAGAAACACCCAGGGCCAAATCTTGCACCCTGGAGGAGGAGAGGCAAGGTAGACGCCTCCTTGATGTGGTCGGAGTAGGTGGGGTCGGAGGACCGCGCCGCATCGCCGATGCACCGGCGATGCACTGGCAACGTCGGCAATGCATCGGCGACGTCGTCATGAAGAAAATTAGGTCCCACATCGGGCCGCATCGCCGATGCGGCGCGATCCTCCGATTAAGTCTTGCCTGTCCCACTACAGGGGGAATTTCGACGAAAAATAAAGATACCCAAAAAATACTCTGAAAATAATCCAAAAATAGCCTGTGGACTATTTGTTGAATATTGTTTGACCCTTTTGGGCCATTTTGGGGGTATTTTTTATTTGTCGTCGAAAATCCCCCTGTAAGGGGACAGGCCCGACCTAATCCTCCGACCCCATCTGCTCCGACCGCATCCGGGAGGCCCAGGGGAAGAGGGGAGCACGGAGGGAGGCGGGAGCCCGCGGAGGAGCCGCGGAGGAGCCGCGGAGGCGGAGAGGGGGCGCCTCCCTCGCCAGCTTCTCCTGCTCCTCCGTCTGCCGCCTGGCCTGGCAGGGGGGGGGAGCCGCGGCCGGGGGCGCCCAGGAGGGGGCCTCCCCCTCCTCGTCCTCCTCCTCCTCCTCCTCCTCCTCCTCCTCCTCCTCCTCCTCCTCCTCCTCCTCCTCCCTCTCTCCTCCTCCTCCTCCTCCTCTCCTCCTCCTCCTCCTCCTCCAAGAGGAGGGGGGGGGGGGGGGAGGGGGGGGGGGGGGGAGGGCGCAAATCGTGGCTGGCGGCATGTGCGCGGCCCAGGGGGGAGGGGCGGGGACGCATTCAAAGAAGAAGAGGCGCCGTGAAATCTGAGGAGATATCATGGCCTCCGCCATGACATCTCCCCTCCCCGCCCCCGGGAGGGGGAGGGGGGGGGGCCGGCTGGCGCCAGCCGGGCAGGAGAGCCCAGAATCGGATCGATGAGCCGGATCGGCGATCGAAATGAATCGGATCGGCGGAGATCGGCAGCCAGGTCGGGGGAGGTCAGATGGGCGGAAATCGGCGGGCTAGTGAGGCCACAGATTGCACCACATAGCATTCGCCATAGAGTTTGCACAACATAGATTGCACCACATATTTTGCACCACGCAGAGTGCCCCAAATGGCCTGCACCACATATGACAAATTTGCAGAGTACAAGAACGCGCTGCTTCGGGTCCACGCTGGCACGCATGGCAACAAATTCGCGCGTTGACGTGCTTTAATCATGGAGGGCGGTGTCGTTTCAAAACGGGGCTCTCGCCTGAATGGTTCGTGCCGTGACGACCCAGCGTTGGCTTCTCACACGCGTCGACCGCTCAACCTTGAACGATCGGTGGCCTTTCGATCGCCAGATCGTTCCACACGATTCTGGGCCACTGGCGGCGTTCAACCTTGAACGCCCGCGGCGGTATTGACGCCACGTCAACACGACACGAACCTGGAGGCGCATCCCCGTTCCACTTTTTGAGACAGATGACGCATTGGCACTTTACTTGGGGAAGAAGCGCGCGACGGGGCGCAGCGTAGAAGATCGTGCATGTTGGCCGCGAGATTCCCGTCCTCGCCATCGCAGTCCTCGTTGTCCTCATCGGCGCGTCCACAACGGACCATCCGAAACCGCGTGGGCCCTTTCCTGGCTTGCATATGACGCTGCGCATGGCAAGGCGCATGCACAGCAGACGCGTCAAATCATGGGGCGCAGGCATCGCATGTGCATCTTAGCTTTCGTTCGCGCATCCATCGTGGGCGGTGGGCTTTTATCAGCGCAAGCCCTGCGCGCGGCAAAACGCCAGAATCCCAGGCGCGTCAAAGAATGGAGTGCAGTCACACAATACAGCTCGAGCAGGCCGGTACATCTTCACGCGCGCGCAGGCACCTCGGGCATTGTTCATCGGCGCAGGCACGACGCCACATCTGAGGCTACAAACTGTGAGGGGGACGAGGAAGAGGGGGGCGTGGGGGAGGGTCGCCGTGCATGCTTAGCAGTGCCGAAGACGGCGTTGCGCCGTTTGCGTTGCGCCTGGGAGAGAAGGGCGGCCGCCCCCCCTCCCTCCCCTGCCCCACTCTCCCCCCGCCGAAACGTCTTCGCCCGCTTGGCAACGCGATGCCATGACAGGATCGGCAGCAAAATGCAGGACTGAATGGGCCAGCATAAGATGTAGCATGCGCTCAGGGAGCATGTGATCGTATGGTACACGGTGTACTCAGACTGTGTTCATCAAACGTATGTTGGTACGTGGAAACTCTGGACACAACGTGGACCAGATGTTCACGTGTAAGATGGGAAAACGCCTGTACCATATGGCCTATGAGCTGGAGACGGGGGACGGGAGGGTCTACTACAGCACCGCTGATGCACCCTGAGTTTGCTCCAGTAATCTTCCCCCACTTAACCCTCATCCTCCTCCCGTGCGCGCTCTGAGGCCCCAGGGTGCCCATCGGATAGCCCGATGCTGATGCACCGCCGCGCTGACTCCTAGGAACGATCAGCGCAACTGTCCATGGTGCCGCTCCACGAGAAGGCCGCGTGCCACTCGAAGGCAAACCACAACGGTCACCGGACAGGCTCGGGCACGCCCCAGGGGATGCACGCGGACTGTACGCGGAAACGCCAGTGCCAGTCTTGGTCATCGCCCGTCTGACTACCTACCAGGCCACCTCAACCCAACCCGAAGACGCGAATTTCGGGTTGGGGGGGGACGGGTTCCATATGTGTTTTTTTCAATGTTCCCCGACCCACCCCCAGTGGAAATGGAGGGCAAACTGAGGTCTTCGGGTTGGGTTGGGGTGGCCTGGTGGGTGGTGACCGTCTTGGCCACGGTCAATCCGTGGAGCATCCTCGCAGATCAGCGCCGGAAGGCACCGACCACGACCAAAAGCACGGCATCGACAAGCTCCCGCGACATCTCGGGCGTGGCCCTCGCGCTTCTCCCCTCGAAGAGGGGAGCCTCTGGGGAGGAGGAGCCCCGCCCCCCGGAACGACGCGTGGTGTCAGCCCGCCGGCGGCCGCGGCTACGCGCGCGGGCGACGTCGGGCGCATGCGCGCGCAGCGCTCTGCACCGCTCGGGCACCGTGCGTGCGTGCGCGCGCACCGCTCGGGCACGCAAGCGCACTGCAGCTGCTCGCAGTACTACGAGCCACCAGAAGGGGGCAAGCGCCCTGTAGCGGCCGGAAGTGGATGTGCGCGTTCCACTGCTCGCAGAGGGACTGCCCGCAAACGGCCTCGATGCGCCGAGAGGGAGGCTGACGAGATGTGGGATCGGGGCAGACAGACAGGGTGTCGGGCATCTGCGGGTGGGCACCCTGCGAGCAGTGGAGCGCGCTCGGTGAGGAAGGGCGCCCGCCTCCTCCCGGAGGAGCTTCTTGGGGTCTGCTGCCGGCGGCGGCCTCGGCACGCGGGGGGCGGGAACGGCAGGCAGGGAGGGGAGGGCAGCGCTGGCCACGGGGCACCAGGGTCCCAGGAGAGCTCCAAAGAATACACCACCGCCAGCCCTGGCCAGGCCCATATCCTGGGCCCTGTACTGGTGGTGTCTTGCTGGCGTCCCCCCGGGGTCCATCAAGAAAAGGGTCTGGCAACGGCGTGGACGAAAACGCCTGCTCAAGATCAGCCAGGGCCGTCTCAGGCATGGTCAGCACGCACCGTCCCTTTGCACGGTCCATCATTGGGCCCCTTGGGGCCTTGTTGGGGCGCTGGGGGGTCCTCGGAATCACTTGGGGCCCGAATGTGGCCTCTCAGGTCCATCTTGGAGTCCCCCAGTAACGCGTCACCGTGCCCTTGCTGGCACGTTGAGGGCCAAGCGCTGTCATGCATTCTGCAATCTTGCACGGGACCTCCCCCATCTCCTAGAATCTCGCCGTGTGAATCGCTCCCCTCTCCCGAGGGTTTCTGGGCGCACCGACGCGTCCCGGGCGCTCTCCAAGGCGTCGAAGATGCCCTCGATGGCTTCCAAGAAGCCCAGGCAGGCACCCAAGACCGTCAAGATGGCCCAATATTGCTCCATACGGCCAAAGATGGCCCAAAGACGACCACGACGGCTCAAGAGGCTCCGAAGACGGCACAGGAGGGCTGCAACAGGGCACAGAGATGTCAAAATCACAGTCCCTTTTGCTTTTGACAGATGTTCGCAGGCGGAGCTGCAGTGCCGCGCCGCACGACAATACAGAGATCGGGGCAGACGGGCGTGCGCGTGCCGTGAGACAGTACGGCAGGTTCACGTCGTGCCGACTTCGGCGTTGGTCTCTGACACCACGGAGATCGTTCAGCCTTGAATGATCGGCCGTTTCTGAAACGTCAGGTCGTTCAACGTTGAACGCTGGCGGCCGGGTCGCCGCCGGTCGACGCGACTCGAACCTACCGTTCAGCGGGAGGGGCGGATGGGGCGCGCGGCGGCTGTCTGGTGGAGGACGTGACGCTGGCTGGGGGGAAATTAGATGATCATTCTGGGGACCCTCCTGGAGCCACTCGCTAAACTCATGCGTCGATGCTGCGTCGAACATCTGTCGACTAGAGTTGAACTAGGCTTGAATTTGAATCGAACTTGAGTCGAGCTAGAGTCGAATTAGAGTCGAACCAGAGTCGAACTTGAGTCGAGCTAGAGTCGAACTAGAGACGAACTTGAGTCAAGCTTGAGCCGGCCTCCAGTCGAGCGGATCTGGCAGGAGGCCCTCGGGAAGGCTACCAAAACGAACATCAACGGAAACGCAGCGGGGTAACCTGCGGCGAGGCGGGGTCGCGGCGCCACGCTGTGCGCGACAGGTGGGCGGTCGGGGCGGGGCGGGGCGCGCGGACCCCGCAAGGAAGGAGGACCAGAGTTGGCTGCAGGGGGCGGGGTCCGCTGCGGCATGTCGGGGAGGGGCGGGGCGCGCGGACCCCGCAAGGGAGGAGGACCAGCGTTGACCGCAGAGGGCGGGGTCCGCTGCGGCACGGCCCGGCTGCGGGGCCGTGGCGGAGGGGGCGCGCGGTCTGGAGGGCGTTTTCCTTGTTGTTCGCGACGGCGGCCGTTCCTGGCCCCAGCCGCCCCCCCCCCCCTCCCGAAGTGACGTCACGGTTCGTGCTGACCTCTGAGCTGTCTCTGGCTGTTCCTGGGCACTCCCAGACGGGGCCTGCGCGGAACTTGGCGCCAGCGGCCCCCTCCCCCTACCCCCCCCTGGGTAAGGCCCGTTCTAGCGGGAGCTCGACCACAAGAAACCTTCCACGAGAAACTCGCCTTGCAGGTCTGGCCCAGTGAATCGGACAAGCACGCTGCTCCCCTCCATGTGTATGGGCAGATGTGCATACGAATACACACACAGCAACACACAAGTACAAGCGATCCTGCAGACGTTACGCAGCCACGCACTCAACGCTTGAAACGAAGCACAGGCATCAGAATTACCTTGGTGCGCCGTCCTCTGGTCGGGAGCAGATCTGCTGAAGCCTCCTTTCACTGACACTCTCCTCCCTCATCCCACGTCCTTCTCTCACTCCCTCTCCTCGCTACACGCACCCCTTGTTTGATATCAATCCTTACCCCCATCGGCAACAAGAAACACTCGCGAGGCCTCTGCCACTTGCACTCAGTCTTCCTGAAAACCAGTACCTTCCAGCTGAGGAGACAAGAACAAGAGAACTGACATTCTGAAGTCCCTGATATACAAATTGATGGATCCAAGGAATCTGTCCGTATGCGGGAGGATCCTCGCTGATCATTGCTATTATGGTGGTTCACCTTGGGGGAGCCGTGCCACTTCTGATTTGTGTCACCCCGCGAGCTTCAACCAAACAACTATCCTCACAAGTGGAGGTTTTGAGCCCAGAGAGTTGTATGCAGCATGGGATGCGGTTCAGTGACAACAGGACACTGAAACACCCTGCCGACGCTTTCAGGTGGACTCCGAACATCTATCTTCAGCGCGTGTCCGTGCCTGCGCCGCTCCGTGGCTCTGGAGGCCACCCGCTGCACGGCACACGAACCTGCCGTGCCAGCCTCACCTGCCTGGGACGCAGTGCGTCCGCAGATTCCAGCCGCGAGGCTTATCAGAACAGGGGTAGCGAGGCGATACCAAGCTCGATCAAGAGTAAGTGAACGTTTTCTTGTTCGGCGTTTCGACATTGGGTGGAAGGGGGGGAAGGGGGAGGGTCTGGCTCCGGACCTCTGCTTAGTGCGACTGTCTGCATCAGGGCGTCCTGTGGGGGAGACCCCACTGCTCGAAACGGGCGCCAAGAACAATCAAGATCTACTCCACGGAGGAAGGGGGGGAGGGAGGGGGTGCGAGGGCCCGCGCCGATCGGCAAAACAATGAATAAAGAAACGTTCACTAACGGCTGCCTGATACGCGTGGGCGAATCACCCGCAAAAACGCCTCCTCTCCATGCGGGCAGGTGGCGCCAAAAGGCCGGTGCCCGAGAACGCACTGGAGCGCACGGCCAGGCGACCGCCACGATACGGGACCCTCGGCCGATGGTTCTCCAGGGGTCCGGGAGCACGCGGAGCTCACAGGGTGGCGTTCTGCTGCGCCTGGAGGCGGCCAGGGGATCTGAGCTGGGTGGACCTCGAAAAAGTCCGCTCCTGGATGGACATGTTCCGGAACTGGGGGCCTGGCCTGGAACCGGGCGGGACTGGGGTCGAGAAATGGAGATGATGACAGCTCCGCTCAGAAGCGGTCCCGGAAGGCCTGGTGCGGCTCTTCACCCAAGATCCGTTTGTGACCGTCCCCGACCGAAAACGGCAAAAAACGTATCCCGAGCCCAGGATTATGTCGGGCCTGTCCCCCTACACGGGGATTTTCGACGAAAAATAAAAAATACCCAAAAAATACCCCAAGGTCAAAAAATATTCAAAAAATAGTCCCCAGACTGTTTTTGGACTATGTTTTGACTAGGGTATCTTTAATTTTTCGTCGAAAATCCCCCTGTAAGGGGACAGGCCCGACTTAAGCCCAGGACCTCGGACCGCGCCCTCCCTTCCTGCTCGCCGGATCACGTGCAGGGCCACCACAGACCCCCAGCCGACTCCAACCCTGCCCGAGCCCAGTGAGACGGACCGGAAGTCGGCGGCGCGCCTGGGAGGGAAGTGAGAAGGAAAGGCCCCCATTGCCTTCCGCGAAGGCTCCTGTGTATTCGGGCAAGGCTCAGAAATCTTCTCGGGGGGCCAGAGGACTTCCGAGCCTTCTGAGAAGGCCCGCCCCTCCTCACCTCCCCCTCTTGGGCTTTCCGCCGAAACCCTGCCTGAGCCCAGTGAAACGAATGGCACTGGGGAGCGTATGGCCACGCTCGCAACGCACCTCCTCCAGGCTACAGGAGGTCAGGGCGTAGAAGCCGACTCTGGGAGCTCCCGAGTCCCCAGCTGATCGTGGCAGAAATGGTGACGTTGAATCATCTTGTGCTTTGATCCTTGGGGTACCCAGACCAAGAGCCCAGTCAAAGGAACCGAAATGGCACCAGGGGAGCGCACCGTCACGCAAGGCACCTCCTCCAATAGCCCCAGGAGGGAAGCCCCCGCGGGCGGCTCGGCCTCGCACAGCACAACAGCCCCCCTCGCCACGAGGGAAGCTGCCCGTGGGGTACCCTTCCGCTGCCCGTGGCCTTCCTCCTCCTCCTCCTCCTCCTCCTCCTCCTCCTCCTCCTCCTCCTCCTCCTCCTCCTCCTCCTCCTCCTCCTCCTCCTCCTCCTCCTCCTCCTCCTCTTACTCCTCCTCCTTCTCCTTCTCCCTCTCCTTCTCTCTCCTCCTCCTCCTCCTCCTCCTCCTCCTCCTCCCTCCTCCTCCTCCTCCTCCTCCTCCTCCTCTCCTCCTTCCTCCTCCTCCTCCTCCTCCTCCTCCTCCTCCTCCTCCTCCTCCTCTTCCTCTTCCTCACTCCTCCTCCTCCTCCTCCTCCTCCTCCTCCTCCTCCTCCTCCTCCTCCTCCTCCTCAGCCCCCTCCTCCTCCTCCTCCTCTCCTCCTCTCCCTTCTTCCTCCCCTCCTCTTCCTCTTCCTCCTTCTCCTCTCTCCTCCTGCTCCTCCGCCTCCTCCTTCTCCTTCTCCTCTCCTCCTCCTCCTCCTCCTCCTCCTCCTCCCCTCCTCCTCCCTCCTCCTCCTCCTCCTCCTCCTCCGCCTCCTCCTGATCCTCCTCCTCCTCCGCCTCCTCATCATCCGCCTCCTCCTGATCTTCCTCATCCTCCTTCTCCTCCCCCTCCTCTCCATCCTCCTCCCTCCTCTGCCCGTGGGGTGCCTTTTCGCCGCTGACCTGGATCTTGATGTCGTCGTGCCTCCTGGGGGGAGAAGACAGAGGAGCCCAGGGAGGCACAGATGAGTAGGCACAAGTTCCAGGATTCCCTGCATGTTTGTTGAGGTGTGTCCGACTGTCGCCTTCTCCCCCATTGCCCATGTGCTCACAGACTTTCTCGGACAGGGACGCTCATTTGTGCCTGTGCCTCCCTCCCCCTCCTGAAAAGGCGAGACTAGCCGAGCACCGGAGGCGCGCGTGCCCCCCCCCCCCCCCCCCGGGGGGCGGGGGGGGAGGGCCCCTCGTGCCCCCCCCCTCCGGGGCCAGGCGCGGAGGCCGTGGCCTCGGCCGATGCAAGGCCGACTGCTCCGTCGTGCCTGCCAGCGGCCACGCCGATGGGACGCCGAGGGACACGTGAGCGCTTTCTTCTTCGGCGTTTCGACACTGGGCGGAACGTTGGGGGAGAAGGGGGGCGGCCTGGCTCCAGACCTCTGCCGAATCAGTGCGCCTGCCTGGAGCAGAGTGCGCCTCCCACGAGGGGGGGGCCCCGCCTGCCCGAAGCGGGCGCCAAAAACAGCCAAGATCCACTCCAGGGGGGAGGGAGCTAGGGGGGGGTGCGAGGGCCCGCGCCGATCGGCAAAGCAATGAATTAGAAAACGATGACCACACCAGTGCTGTTCGGCGGCAAGCGAGGGCGGGGGGAAAAATGAGAAGGAGAAGGCCTCCTCGGGAGGCGGCGGGGCGTCGTCTCACAGGCCCTCGGGCCCTCCGAGAAGTGCTCGGCGTCTTCGGGGAAGGCTCAGAAAACTGATCTGGACACCTCCTCCTCCTCCTCGTCCGAGCCTTCTGAGAAGGCTTTCTCCCGCCCACTTCCCCTCCTCGATCGCCGCCGAGTCCTCCTCGGAGGCGCACGTCCGAACCAAACCTACAGCACGGACGTGTTGTAGTGTATCGTTTCCCAGGCGGTATGGCCAGAGAGCCCCCGCCGCGAAGCTTATACTATAAGAGTTCTCGGCGCGCGTGTCGGCCTTTGGGGGGGGGGCGACGCACACACACACACACACACACACAGTGCTAGTGTCGGGGCGGCACCGAGCTGAGGGTGTTCGAAGAGGGGGAGAGGGAGCGAGCGAGCGAGCGAGCGAGCGACGCGCTTGCGCAGGCTCATACGACCAAGCGCGCGTGCCTGTGCCCGTTTGGGCGAGGCGCGTGAGGCCGTAGCATCTAAGAACAATGCAGAGCTATGATGCGGCCCGACGCCAACAGTGGGAAATGCGAGAATGCGAGAAGCGTGGAGGAGGGCGAGGGGGAGGGAAAGGATTACAGCTTTTGGTTGTTACCGACAGCCGATGACTCTCTGCACGCTTGGGCAACGCGGAGCGGTGCCGTGGTACGGAGTCCTCGCTACCTGCGCGAACTTGCATGCGCGCACAAAGGGAACCCCCAGCGAGTCCATGCGGACTGCTGAACAGGTGCGCCGCGGTGACAAGTGTAAAATCTGACGCATCATCATGGCCGCACGCACACATGGTTGCACTCACTGGGAAACCAGGGTCAGCAATGCAAGCACGCAGACAATGTGGGCGGAGGAATTCCGAGTGCGTCGCAAAGCCATGCCCAGGTACATAGGCCACAAAGAGCTTGATGGCATCCATGATGCTGACGATCATGACAGCACCGACGATGGCGGCAAGAATGAGGATGAGAAATGCCATGGCACCACCGACCAAGGCGACAATGATGCGGCAGCTCCTTGGACCAGCAATGTCGGCCTCCACTCCGCCCGAATCCCTCAAGCAGGAGAAAGATACGGAGGTGGTCCCCCCCTCGTCGCACCGTGTTTCTGTCACGATCTGGCGACGCCGCCAGACTTCGGGCCTGCCAGACACACAGAAGTCTTGCGTCCAGGTGGACGCGTTGGCAGGTTGGACGCGTTGCAAGGATACTCCGGACCTGACATTGGCCAGATTGCTCCTGCATTCGGCATACTCCCGCACCGTGGAGGACAAGAAGCGGCCCACTCCGGAGTCCCGGACCACCCCAGAAAAGTGCATTTCTCTCCGGGGGGGGGGGAGGGAACGCTTGCTTCCGCGGGCCTTCAGTTAGGTCGGGCCTGTCCCCCTACAGGGGCATTTTGGGCGAAAAATTCAAAATACCCCAAAAATAATTCAAAAGTGCCCAAAAAATGCTCAAAAAATAGTCGGCATGTTTTTGAATATTCCTCCTGTAGAGGAACAGGCCCGACTTAAGCCTTCAGCTGGCTGCGCCCTCGCTCTGCGTCCGCCAGCCTTCCGCCACCTGCCGCCGAAAAAAAAGCGGCCAATTCCTCGATATCCTAGAGGGCAGAGCCCGCTCCAGAGCGCCCTCGGCAACCGGAACAGACGAGGGAGAGGGAGGAGGAAGAGACGAGCGTGTTCCACTGCTCGCAAAGTACCTACTCGCAAATGGCCTGGATCCGCCGCGGGGGATCCACGATGAATCACATCAAAGCAGGCTTGTGTTTTTCGAGCGTTTGCAAGTAGGCACTTTGCGAGTATTGGAACGCCCTCGGTAAAGGAAGAGGAGGCCGAGAAAATCGTCATGAAGACTCTGCGGCGCCGTGCATTCATCTGCGTCCTCCTCCTCCTCCTCCTCCTCCTCCTCCTCCTCCTCCTCCTCCTCCTCCTCTTCCTCCTCCTCCTCCTCCTCTTCCTCCTCCTCCTCCTCTTCCTTCTCGTCCTCCTCTTCCTCCTCTTCCACTTCCTCCTCAGCCCCCTCCTCCTCCTCCTCCTCCTCCTCTCCTCCTCCTCCTCCTCCTCCTCCTCCCTCCTCCTCCCCTCCCTTCTCAGCCTCCTCCCCCTCCTTCTCAGCCTCCTCCTCCTCCTCCTCCTCCTCCTCCTCCTCCTCCTCCTCCTCCTCCTCATCATCATCATCATCATCATCATCATCATCATCATCATCATCAGCATCATCATCATCATCAGCAGCAGCAGCATCAGCTTCATCATCAGCATCATCATCATCATCACCATCAATGTATCAGCATCATCATCATCATCCTCATTATCATCATCATCATCATCATCATCATCATCATCATCACCACCATCATCATCACCATCATCCTCATCCTCATCCTCATCTTCATCCGCATCCGCATCCTCATCCTCATCATCAGCATCATCATCAGCAGCAGCATCATTATCATGATCAGTATCATCATCGTCATCATCATCATCCTCATCCTCATCCTCATCCTCCTCATCTCCTTCATCTTCCTCCTCAGCCTTTTCCTCCTCAGCCTCCTCCTCCTCAGCCTCCTCCTCCTCCTCCTCTTCCTCCTCCTCCTCCTCCTCCTCCTCCTCATCCTCCTCCTCCTCCTCCTCCTCATCCTCCTTCTCCTCCTCATCCCCCTTGCGTGCTCGGCCATGGGCCTCTCGTTGCCCATGGGCTCCTGGGCCGTGTTCGGCGGTCACCGCCCGCCTGTCGCCTTCCCCCTGCATGCCCGACCACGGGCCCCTCTCGTTGCCCATGGGCTCCTGGGCCGTCCTCGGCGGTCTTCTGGCGGTCTGCGCCGTCTTCCAGCGCGAAAGCATGTGGCAGCTGCGCTCCACAAGACGTCCAGGATCGGACACCCAGCTCCCCCACTCCTCCAGGCCCCTCTCGCTCTCTCTCTCTCTCTCTCTCTCTCCCCCTCTCCCTCTCCTCTCCCTCTCCCTCTCCCTCTCACTCTCTCTCTCTCTCTCTCTCTCTCTCTCTTCTCTCTCTCTCTCTCTCTCTCTCTCTCTTCTCTCTCTCTTCTCTCTTTCTCTCTCTCTCTCTCTCTCTCTCTCTCTCTTCTCTCTCTCTCTCTCTCTCTCTCTCTCTCTCTCTCTCTCTCTATATATATACATATATATATATATATCTCTTTTCTCTCTCTCTCTCTCCCCCCTGCGATGGCAGCACCCCGCTGCGAAGAGCGGCGGCGAGCGAGGGAGGGGGAAAAAGAGCAGGGGGAGGCCTCAGAAAGCGGCGGTACTTCCCAAGAAGCCCTCTGGCCTTCTGAGAAGCCTCCTGCGCCTTCGGGAGAGGCTCAGCGCTCTGCTCAGAAGGCTGGGGGGCTTCCGAGCCTCCCGAGAGGGCCCGCCCCCATCCTCGCTTTCCCCGCCCCCCCCCCAGGCTGGCCGCCGAGAAGGGGGGCACCGCGGCACGACGGGTCGCCGCTGGGTGCCCCAGGGGGAGGGGGCGGGGGACCCCCCCCTCGTTCCGTCTCGCGTGGCGGACAGAGCTTCATGAAGCTGCCCCTGATGCTATCTGCTTGTGCTGCGCGCTGCCCAAAGGCAGCGTGCAGCACGACCAGAGACACCCTTCCCGACAGGTCGTCGAGGAAGCCCCACCGTTCCAAAAGGGGGAGGGGGCGAGCACCACTCCCCCCCTTTCGGGCCAGAGGTTTGAGCACCCCCCCTCCGCCCCCCCCTTTCGGGCCGAAGCTGAACCTCCTCATTCCCCCCGTGTAACCCTGGAGCCCTGATCCTAATACCCGAGAGAGCGTGATCCACCGCCGCTTTACTGTGGAAAATTGCCCCTCTCTTCCTCCGAAACCTGAGGTCCCCCCCTTCGAATCCCCCTTCCCCCCCTACCCCTGCTGGAACCCCCCCTTTCTCCCCCCAACACCCCCCCTAACCTCTCCCCCCCCCCATCCTCCAGAAAACCGGGGGGGAGGTCACTACCGGTTCGAACCCCACCCCCTCCAGAAAACCGTGGGGGGTCACCACCAGTTCGAACCCCCCCCCGTCAGAAAACTGGGGGGGGTCACTACCGGTTCGAACCCCCCCCCACTCACCGCCAGCAAACGATCTCGGGTCCCCACCACCGTCCGCACCACGTCCCCCACCGCTGTGCCCAGCACCACTGTCCCCACCACCACTGTCCCCACTGTTCCCACCAACGTCCCCACTGTCCCCAACCAGTGACCCCACCACCGTCGCATTGTCCCCTCTGTCCCCACCACTGTCCCCACCACGGTCCCACTCCCCCCACTGTCCCCACTGTCCCACTGTCCCCGCCGCTGTCCCACTGAGCTGTCCCACTGTCCCCACCACTGTCCCCACTGTCCCCACCACTGTCCCCACTGTCCCCACTGTCCCATTGTCCCACCACCGTCCTCGCCACCGCCCTCACCACTGTCCCCACCACCACTG